TGGCGCATGACGTCATCATTCCCCGTGCGCCCGTGGTGTAGCTCCCAGGGCCAGTGGGGTGCCTGGGGTGGGATGCGCGTGCTGCCACGAATATATTTTTGCTTATTTTTTGCCCACAGTTTTAAATACAATTTATTAGATTTTACGTGCCGATCCAATGTATGGTGAACACGTACACTATATTATAGCAGTAGAACATTCGTACCGTCCATAGATACTCTGTTACGTGCATCACAAACAAGAACACTTAACCTGCACTTATTTCCAATTTATCATGCTGATATATTTATATTTACATTATATATACTGTACACACACACACTGTACAGTATCACACACTATATACACACATTATACACACACTCAGTACTCCGCGAGTGTGTGATATGCTGCAAAACAGCCAACGGGGCAGAGTGGCACCTTGCACTCCACGTACCAGGTACTGATGCAGCTTCGCTTTTGTTCTCTGCGGGTAGTGTTCCTGCATACTATACAAGCACGTTTACCCTTCTCCCTTGATGCTGTGCCTGGCATATACTCCAGCATGTGAACCCCGAAGTTCTCATTACCCCGCAGTCTGTCTGGAGCTGCATGTGGTATTGTTGCTTGCATCCCGCACGGTACTACGGAGCCTTCCCTGCCATACTTTACCAGCAGCTGTGACACAACACTGGCACTGAAGGTACATAAAGACAGTTTCCTGCCGAACTTCACTAGGTACATATTGAAGCAGTTGAGCACTGCAACATCCATGAGGTGGAAGAAGAACTTTTTCGTCCACTTCACAGACCTGCGCATGCACTCCACACTACCAAGCATCATGTCACATTTATCAACGAGGTGCATGTTCACGTTATAGTCTATAACACAGTCTGGTTTATACATGGGGTTGCACGTCTGAAAATGGATCTTCCCACTGCCCACCATGGCACCAGTGTGAATCGTCGTCAGCATATTCACCTCGTGTCTGTCCTTCCACCGCACTGACAGCATATTGTCATACTTGCGCAGCTGGCACTCACCCATGCCTATACCTATACCAAACATTGGCATTTCCTTCCTGAGGCCCTTCACAGTGCCACATATGCCGGTGTTGTGGGCAAGGAGGTATCTGGTCAACAGGGGGCTGGTGTAATAGTTGTCGGTGAACAGTATATGCCCCCTGTTCAGCAATGGTTCCATCAGGGTTTTTAACCCTTAAACTGCGCATGGCGTATATATACGCCCTGAGTAACATGTCCCATGGTGCGCATGGTGTATATATACGCCATAGGGTGCCAGGCCTGATTCAAATGGCCCGCGGCTACACGGGGTTCACAGTAGCTTCCTCAGGGCTCTTGTAAACAGATGCCATTTTAAAAAAAAATCGTGGGCAATATTCTCAGGTGTGAGAGGCACAGTACTGTTGGAGCAACCAAGGCCGGCGCACGCAGCATGAGCGAACAGCATTGATGTTCAGCTTGTGACCACAGCATAGCCGAAAAATGTCAAAATAAATATATAATTGTTATTATTTAGCGATGACAATATTACAGATGACCAATGACTGTGATATAAATAACCAGGGTTGTGATAATAGCAGGATTGTTGTAATAATTAGCGCTGTGTGAGGAGTGATGCTGAGAGACGGAGGGAGACAGCATCGTTTACCGACTGTGTGGCCACCTGTTATTGTTTGCGTTCACCATACCAGGTCAGTGGTTCTCTATGGTGAACACAAATGTAGATACTTATATATAATGTGTGTATTAGTGTAATAACAGCAAAAGGATTATGCTGGGAGGAGCCATATGGGTGACGAAGGTGACGTCGTCTGCACGATTTCTCTAGCTGTTTAGAGGGTGGCCACTATGCTCTTTGGGCGCTCTACAAGCTTAGGTGTACAGTTACGGTGCATAAAATATGTAGATATTTATATATAATATGTGTATATAGGGTAATAACACCACAAATGGTATGTAAAACATGTAGATATTTATATATAATATGTGTATATAGGGTAATAACACCACAAATGGTATTGTTGGGGGAGAAAGTTTAGTGCGTGTGACTTTGAAAGAGTGAGGGAGCCGCCAGCCGCCATCTGTGTATAGCGACGACTCTTAGTGCCTGAACTAACTATATCAGCTTAGCTGTACAGTTGTGGTGAACAAAATATACACATACTTATATATAACGTCTGTATATAGTGTAATAACACCACAACTGGTATTGTTGGGGGAGAAAGTTTAGTGCGTGTGTTGAGGGAGTGGCAGCGAGTGGCTGGCTGGTGTGTGGCGGTAACTCCTCGTTGCTTTTCGACTCTCAATACCAACTTAGTGGTTCGGTATGGTGTCCAAAACATGCCAATACTTATATATAACCTGTGTATAGAGTGTAATAGCAGCAAAACTATTTGTTTATTGTTTTATAAACATAATAATTGAATCACTAATATGCACATCATACTTTTGAGTATAGCGATTATTAACCACTTTTATTATATAAATATATTACAATACACACTATTGAATAATATTACTGCAAAAAAACTAAGAAAAAATCAATCGGAGACATTGAAACAATTAGGTAATAATATCTTTGTGGCAACTCCCATCTGTCAACGCGGGTGACGCTGACCGGGTCTGACAACCGCTCTGTCAACGCCCACTTTTTGCCAGACTTCCTCGGTCAATTGCGTCCAAAATATGTCACCTACGATTTTTTTTTTATTTTTTCCGTGCTCAGGGGACACAAATTAACATGTTTAGAAGACGAAAAAAATTTTTTGAATTTTTTTTTTCTTGCGCACAGGGGTGTAAATGTCCATATGACCCCTGAGCAGTGTAAGGGTTAAGACACTGCCGGAGAATCCGTGTTCATCTTGAGCTAGTATGTGGACATCTGTACCAGAATACAAGATCATGTCCAGGACGATACCAGTCTCACAGCATGAAAAACTTCAGTCCAAAACGGTGCTGCTTTGAAGGGATGTACTGCTTGAATGCCAGTCTGCCCTTGAACAGTACAAGTAACTCATCGATAACGACATTCTGTCCAGGTACAAAATAATCCCTGAACTTCCCTCTCAGGTTGCTGAATACCTTGCGTACCTTCCACAGTCTGTCGTGTCTGTCCTCATTTGCATTATTCTTTAAATGCAGGCACCTGAGAATCAAGAGGAACCTATCCAGTGACATATACCGGTTGAACACGGGCAATGGAACAAGGCTGTCTTTGTTCCAATAGTCCTGGACGACAGCTTTCTCGGAGTGTTTCATCATCATGCATAGTGCGAGAAACACGTACATCTCGTCGATTGTCGTATCCTTCCATCGTGTGAGGCGTGAGGTAGGTAATATGCCGCCGTCTATGAGGGTGTGGGTGTACATGTTTGTCTCGGTCTTAAGATGCGTCATGAAGACGTTGTCAAAATATGCCTGGAAATATTCCATGTCCGCCATATCATCACCAGTATACGGGAATAAAGCTGTAACACCAACATTGGTATCATCAAATGTTGGTATTTAAGGAACAAATGTAGCACAATCCTCCCACCCAAGTACACCAGGGGGTTTGGTGTTGGTGCCAACACCACGGCCAACACCACCACGAGCACCAAAACCACGGCTATGTCATCTGCTGCTGCTGGAGCTGCGTGAGGGTATGCTTGGTGCTGAGGCAGATTTTTGTACCGTAGGCCTATCACGAACACGTGATGTTGAGGGCCCACTGTCGTCATGCTGTGAGACACGCTGCCACCTGCAATCAACGTGTTGCAGAGGCAGCAAAACCCCACCTGGTACCACCCCCGCTGCTAGTACTTGGGTCGTCCACACTTCTCGTATTGGAGCCAAGGTCACTGAAGCCCGAGTAAGATTCTTCACATGTACTGTCACTGAATAAACTTGCGTCTGGGGACATACATGATGGTGGTGATGATAATGGTATTGACCCAGGACGGCGAGGCAGGCCGGGCGAGGAGTGTGTACTGTACACGCTCGCCACATTATCCACTTCCATCTCTCCCTCACTCGTATCAGAACTCTGTGTCAGGTCTTTCTCTGGATCATAGTCCGGGTCATCATCCATAGCACAGTCGTCATACAAAATATCACGTATCTCTTCCTCAGAGACTTATTTTACATGACCGCGGGTCATCATGGAGCAGGAGCTCATTGACGATGCGTCAGACATGGTTGCTGCTTGGGAACTGGGGCTCCCCACGGCCGCGGGGCATGCTGGGAATTTTTTTCAAGTTGGAGGACAATCACTGGGGCCCCTAGCCATCCATTCCATACCCGCATCACTGCGCGCCACTTTTAAATGGAACGTGTAAAATACAAATACCCGGAGGCGCGTAGCGCACCCCAAGCGTGGTACTGCAGGCGCGTTGTGCAGTTAAAGGGTTAATGTGATTTCTGTGTATCTATGATATTATCATTGGAAAATAATCACAGATGTATTTATGATGCTGTGGGTACAAGCTGCACAGCAGTGCTGGGAGGTGCTGCAGTTTGTGCCACCTGTGGTTGTTCACAATTATTTCCAAGATGGCATCTATTTACTGGAGGCCTGAGGTAACAGATGTGAGTCCAGTGCACCTGAAGTAGTTTTAAAACGTTCATGGTACTTGAAAACATCTCTCATTGCTTTGCACAGAGTGATCATAAATGGTGAGAACATTGCTGAATGTCGCATGCATTTGAAGGGTTCAAGCTGACTAACTCCTGGGTACCTACTTACTGCTAGGTGAACAGAGACATTAGGTGAAAGGAAATGTGCCCAACCATATCTGTCTCACCTGGGATTCGAGCCTGGAATTCTCAATTATACATTGAGAATGAACACGAATGTACTACCAGGACCGTTGAACCATATTCAACCATATTTGTGGCTTCTCACTTGTCAGCTCTTGGTTCACAGTTCTCAGACACTGCACATACACAAGAGTATTTCAATCTTAATAAAGTATATGCATTCAAAATTAAAAAGATTGAGAGATACTAAAAGACTCTTACCTGATTGATCATGGTCAGCAAGCATAGGTGGTATATCAATTATACGATATTTTGATGTTCCATGTTTTTTACGAATGTGGTGACGCAGCTGGTTGTGGTCCTGACCCAGAAACACACAATATCCACAGCGGAGAGGAAAGAATGATCCATGGGTGTTACGTATATGCTGAAATTGTGAAAATTATTATTCTAATTGACAGATGGTAAATACAAGATATGCAGTACAAAATGATGACGTATACAGACTTCATGAACTTGTACTTTTTATTTGGCAAAATACAGAATATAAATTCTATATTTAGTGGCATAGGCTACCCTATCACACACCATAATGATGCAATTAACCTCACACTATAGTACTAGAAGGGGGTACCCGCTGGTGTCTGAGGCAGTCTCGTTCCTCCATTCACCTCTCTCTTCCTCCTCCTCCCCCCCCCCACCCCTACCCTTTCCTCCCCTACTCCCTTCCTTTTCTCCCCTATTCCCTTCCTTCCCACCTTCCCTATCTCCCCAATCTTTCTACCCTCTTGTCGCTCTTTTTCCCTGTCTGGCCTTACTATTAACACTGGCAAAAGTGTTAATATTCAATTCACAATCACTTTAACCCTTGTGTTGCTCTGGGCTATTTGGCTATTATCACCCACAGGTCCATAACAAAATTTGTTTTTTGGTAAAATGCTATGCCCAAGATTACTATCCGAGTGCCGGCGGTGGGGTGGTTCAAATAGCTTCGGCTATCACCTCATTTTGTCCAGTCGTGATGGTCAAGTGGATTAAGGCGTCTTGTACATACCAGTTGCGTTGCTCCTGGGAGTATGGGTTCGAGTCACTTCTGGGGTGTGAGTTTTCAGTTGCATATTGTCCTGGGGACCATTCAGGCTTGTTCGCATTTGTGTTCCTCACGTGTGCCCCAAAGAATGAGGTGATTTGGTAAAATGCTATGCCCAAGATTACTATCCGAGTGCCGGCGGTGGGGTGGTTCAAATAGCCTCGGCTATCACCTCATTTTGTCCGGTCGTGATGGTGAAGTGGATTAAGGCGTCTTGTACATACCAATTGCGTTGCTCCTGGGAGTATGGGTTCGAGTCACTTCTGGGGTGTGAGTTTTCAGTTTTCAGTATATATATATATATATATATATATATATATATATATATATATATATATATATATATATATATATATATATATATATACACAGTGGTACCTCGGAATACTAGTGTCCCTGTATGCGAGTTTTTCGGAATACGAGCAGGATTTCCTCGGAAAATGTGTCTCGGAACGTGAGGGTTACCTCGGAACGCGACTTTGTTGATACGCGTTCAGGCCGACCTAGCGCGTGTGGTGGTACGGGGATCGTCGCCTCTCCACCCCTCAGTTTACCAGTGTCTCGTGCCCAGTGACTATCCCACATCAATTCATCACCCAGATTTTCAGTGTTTTGTTGGATTTTTGGTCATTTGACTATAAAATTTGTTATTATATATCTCACCATGGGTCCCAAGAAAACCAGTGGTAAGGATCAAGGCAAGAAAGCCCATGTGAGGATGACAATAGAGGAGAAACAAGTGATCATTCGGAGATCTGTGTGTGGCCACCTTTTATTGACTGCACTCACCATACCAGCTTAGTGGTTCGCTATGGTGAACACATGAGAATGATACACGTGTTGTTGAGCTTTGTAGGCAGTACAACAAAGCCACATCAACAATATGCACTATACTTCAGAAGAAAAATGAGATTATGAGTGCTAAAGTGGCAAAAGGAGTAAGAACAATGACGAAACAAAGACCACAAATACTTGAAGAAGTGGAAAAGTTGTTAATAATTTGGATACACGACAGGAATTAAGGGGTGATAGTGTTTCGGAGGCCATCATTTGTGAGAAAGCCAGAGTATTGTACGAAGACCTTATAAAGAAAACTCCTGCAATGAGTGATGCAAATACGAAAGAGTTTAACCCTTAAAGTGCGCATCACGTCATATGACGTGTTGGACTTTGTTCCAGTCAACTGCGCATAACGTCATATGACGTGTTGGAGTACTACGCAAGATTTAAACGGCCCGCGGATACACAGGGTTCACCACACCTTCATCAGGGCTCTTGTAAACAGACGCCATTTTTTTTAAAATCGTGGGCCAAACTCCCGGGTGTTATTGGCCTCAGTATTGAGTGAGCAACCAAGCCTGACGCACGCAGCATGAGCTAACAGCACTGCTGTTCAGCTTGTGACCACAGCAGCGCCTAAAAATGCCAAGATATACATGTTCATGCTATTATGTAGCGATGATGTTATTACAGAAGACCCCTGATTGTGATAAAACTGACCAGGGTTCTGATAATAGCAGGATTGTGGTGATATTTAGCGCTATGCGTCATGGAGGGAGGAGTAATGCTGTGGGAGGAAGGGTGGTGGAAATGTCTTCTGACTGTGTGTGGCCACCTTTTATTGACTGCACTCACCATACCAGCTTAGTGGTTCGCTATGGTGAACACAAATGTAGGTACTTATATATAACGTGTGTATAGAGGGTATAAACAGCAAGAGAAGGTTTGGAGCCGCCATTTTGGTGAGGGCGGTGGCGTCGTCTGCACGACGCCACTGTGCAGACGACGGTGTTCTTTACTGGTTACCACAATAGTCTTTGGGCACCATACCAGTTTATTTGTACAAGTATGGTGAATAAAACGGGTAGATATTTATATATAATGTGTGTATATAGCGTAATAACACCACACAGTATTGTTGGAGGAGAAATATTAGTGCGTCTGGCCTTGAGGGCGTCAGCCATCAGCTGACTGTGTGAGGTCCTATGTCTTTGTGCCTTTACTCAAAATACAAGCTTAGATGTACAATTATGGTGAACAAAACATGTAGATACTTATGTATAACGTCTATATATAGTGAATTATAGCAAAACCAGTATTGTGGGAGGAGAATGTGGGTGAGTCAGATGACTTGAGGGAGGGCGGGAGTGGCTGGCTGGTACACGGCGGTCACTCCTCGTTACTTTTTGACTCATAATAGCTACTTAGTGGTTCGTTATAGTGAACAAAACATGCAGGTACTTATATATAACCTGTGCTTATAGTGTAATAACCGACAAAGTATTTGTTCACTGATTGATGAACATAATTGAATCAACAATATGCACACCATATTTTTGAGTACAGCAATGGTTCAGACATTTTATTATATAAATATACCACAATTCATTGTATGGAATAATATTACTGCAAAAAAATAAGAAAAAATCAGAGACATTGAAATAATTAGGTAATATTATATTTGTGGCAACTGCCGTCTGACAGCTCGGGCAGAGTGACCTCGTCTGGCGAAGGCGCTGCCAACGCCCCTTTTTTGCCACACTTCCCTACCATATTGCGGCTAAAATATGCCGCCTACGATTTTTTTGTTATTTTTTCCGTGATCAGGGAACAAAAATGAACACTTCTATAAGATGAAGGAATTTTTTTTATTATTTTTTTTTTTTTGTTGCGCCTGTGGGTGTGAATTCCATTTGGGCCCCAAGCGGTTTGAGGGTTAAATGTACATCATCGTATATTTTTGGCAGGCTGGCAGGCAGGATGTTCCTGCAGGTTGGCAGGCAGGATGTTCCTGCAGGCTGACTGGCAGGATGTGCCTGTAGGCTGGCTGGATGTGCCTGCAGGCTGGCTGGCAGGATGTTCCTGCAGACTGGCTGGCAGGATGTGCCTGCAGGCTGGCTGGCAGGATGTGCCTGCAGGCTGGCTGGCAGGATGTGCCTGCAGGCTGGCTGGCAGGATGTGCCTGCAGGCTGGCTGGCAGGATGTGCCTGCAGGATTGCTGGCAGAATGTGCCTGCAGGCTGGCTGGCAGGATGTTCCTGCAGACTGGCTGGCAGGATGTTCCTGCAGGCTGGCAGGAAACATCCAGAGGATGTTTGCCAGTTGTCTTATTAATCAGCTAGGAACAATTAGGGACTTTTATAAAGAGGATCAGGACTTCAGTTATTGGTGAGTACAAACAAAATACCGTCGCATTTATGCTATGACCCTGTCGATTTTTTTCCCTAGAGTTGTTTCATGATTTTTTTTTCTTTTTACATTTCTAGTTTATTTTTTCCCTCTATTTCTTGTTTACGAACTTACATGTTAATCGACGGACCTCGTCCCCAAGGCGTTCGGCGGAAACCAAGTGGTGCTCTGTATACACATTATATATATTTATATATATATATATATATATATATATATATATATATATATATATATATATATATATATATATATGCGAACAAGCCTGAATGGTCCCCAGGACTATATGCGACTGAAAATTCACACCCCAGAAGTGACTCGAACCCATACTCCCAGGAGCAACGCAACTGGTAACTACAGGGCGCCTTAATCCGCTTGACCATCACGGCCGGACAAAAGGAAGTGATAGCCGAAGCTATTTGAACCACTTCCCCGCCGGCAACTCGGATGGTAATCTTGGGCATAGCATTTTATCAAATCACCTCATTCTTTGGGGCACACGTGAGGAACACAAATGCGAACAAGCCTGAATGGTCCCCAGGACTATATGCGACTGAAAACTCACACCCCAGAAGTGACCATAACCCATACTCCCAGGAGCAATGCAACTGGTAACTACAGGGCGCCTTAATCCGCTTGACCATCACGGCCGGACAAAAGGAAGTGATAGCCGAAGCTATTTGAACCACTTCCCCGCCGGCAACTCGGATGGTAATCTTGGGCATAGCATTTTATCAAATCACCTCATTCTTTGGGGCACCCCAAACAAAAACCCCACAAGAGGGCAAGGTACCCATGAGGAACAGAGCCAGCCGTTGTTATAGATGAAAATTTGCTGCTCAGTACCCCGTGCCCCTGCCAGTGACAAAACCTACCCCCTACCCAGAGACAAACAAGGGCAAGAAAAAACCCAGCTGACCCCAAGGGCGGCCAAATACAGAGCAGTAAACAGCATAGCAGAGGTAGATCCAGAGGTGACTTGTGGAAGGTGGCCCCAAGCCCCAAGGGCAGTACTTACAGGGCACCTAGGGAAGGAAACCCTAGGCGCATGCACCCTGAGTACCGTAGAGTCTCACTCCTAGCCCACGCACCACCAGTAGGGACAGCTCACACCGCAAGGCACAGAACTGTAACAAAACACTGGAACCA